TGAACCCATCTCTTGATGGGTTGGGTTGAAGTTGCTTAGAAGAGCTTTTGAGATAAACACTTGTTTCCGAAAATCGGGGATTTAAGTTTTTTGAAAATACACAAACAATATAGTACAAATGGAGGAGTATCCTACTTGTTAAATACTGTCAAATTTTTTAGCGCAGAGTGCACACTTGAAAAATTTGGACATTTTTAATTTATTCCTACAAAATTAAGATAGGCTAGATCTGCTTATGCATAATCTTTCTTCCATCAGTTTTAGTATATGATTAATGATTGTTCTCATATTTTGTTGCCATTTTGTCGTAATTGTTTATAAAAACGTATTAACCATGCTGACGAGCAATTGAATTTAGTACTGATTGAATTTACTAGTTGTTAACGGTATAACTCGGGATTGGAACATATTACAGAAAAGCTTTTAGAACAAAAGTTGTAGCAAATTTTACTCTAAACAATATTGCTCTCTTTCACTTTTACTGCCAGATGCATAAATATCGAGAAAAATGCGAAAATATGAAAATGAGATGAATTTACAATTCAACCAATCACTAGGAAACCAAGAACATATCATAGTCACAGTGTTATCAAACAATGCAGAAAACATTCACGGAGTTGGCACTGCATTAGCTATGTGCCAATAATATCGTGATTCATCTAATCCAAATCAAATAGCTTATTCTGAATGCTCAAGACCACAACAACCTAATCTGAAAACGAGCTACTGCTATGAAATATCTTGTTAAAAAATGTACTGGCAGCTCTTTAACAACAGCCAGTTGATACTTTTTGTTATCAGAAGTAGTTGCAGTGTTCACAGCCGCTATATTTTCTGTCATTTATGACAAAAAAATCAGACCGAAAAAAAATAAATGACAGAGACAATAAATGGTTGTGTATCTTATCTCATCATTCTTTCAACAACCTTATTCTGTATAAAATTACCATCAATCTTCAAGGAATAGATATCCAATAATGTCCGTCAATCCAAGGCATTCTCAACTATTCATTGCAACATTATGTTCAAAGTTTGAAATTGAAGATCCCAATGTAAAATATTAAAAAACTTCATTCCATCGTTCATCATTATCATGCCTAGTATTTAGTTGATTTTGATTATTTTCATCAAGAATCAAAGCAATCACAAAATCTCAATGCGTTCATTCTAGTCTTGGACATTACACAATAAAGGATTTGTTAACAGAATTAACTTCAGATCACTGCAAAACATCAGTCAATAACCACAATTTATTTTATTAATATTACGATGAAAACTGGTGAAAGTACTTACTAGATATTGAAAATCTTGAACTTCTACCATATTATTTATAACTTTCTATATGCAGTTTCGCAATGAGGTTAATCGTATGATCAATAGTTTCAATTTTCATTGAACAATAACGATGTCATTTTAAGAAGAATACAGGCATGATAACAAATTTAGTTCTGTTGAATTTCAGTCTTATGTATATATGATATGATTGGTGACTTCTCGATGATATTTGGAATTTTTAAAGCTATAATATGTATAGCTTTAAAATGTATGTTTAACACAGAGAGTCAAATTAAATAGTTCCACCTTAACATTAACTTCATGGTACATTTATATTGATACATGCGATTCAAAATTGACTCAAAATTGCCTTATTGCCTTATTTGAAGCTATATCCAAACATTTACTTTGTTACTTACGTTTATTGTAATAAATTACAATAGCTCTATAATTAATCTTTGTTTTTATCGCATTTAAAGCTTGAATAATTTTTATGAAAAGATCAAAATTAAGATAGCACTTATATTTTAAGTGTAGTTCATTTTAATTTAATAAAGAAAAAAAAATGCGGAACACAAGAGAAGAAAAAAAAAACACAAAAAAGAACATTAAATATTTAGCGGTAAACTATCCTTTTTGCCTTCATTCACGTGGTATTAATAAAGCCATCAAATTTCTTCCAAAGGAAGTTATTCTAAAGGTGCTGCCAGCGACGTGCTTTTCATAAGTGGAGGCCATGTGAGTAGAGTACGACTTCCCGGGCGATTACAGGCTCAAGAATTGCCACTTAACCGCCTCGGAGGGCTTTTATGCAGATTTTAATGGGAATAATGCGTTCCGCTCGTACTCAGCGGCGAGTTTCTTGGAATCGACTTCAGACCACCTTAGTTTCTACAAACATTAGACGTATATCAATATGTTTAAAAATTAATCCATGTTACATTCTTTATGTTAATTATCTAAATTTCAGTTAAGTCACAACTATTATTTATTATTACGAAAATAGCTCTGTATGTAATATTATCGAGTTCGAATGGTTACACGTGCTTTCTGTACGTCTTAATTGCGTTTGACGTCGTTCACATATGTTCACGCGTCCGTCGTTCGGCATCTGATAAAAATTACAACACCCGAGGTCCAATGTGCGAACGTTGTAGAGAAGATGAAGGCATCAAAGCGCGGCCCTCGTATTTATTACGCTGTCACGGGTCCGGAGATATTGAATTCGAACGATGACAGCTGCTCTTCATTACGTCTCACTTACGTGCTTGCCAATTAACGCCGCCAGATTGAAAGCCGGAGATCATGAAGTGCCCTCTCCTCCATTTCGCGGCCAATTTTTTCCGCGAAAGACCCGGACCGAAGAGTCTATTATCGGATTAATTAAGAAAGCAGGCAATTTATTGCGTTGCCGCCGCCACCGTTTCTCCTGACGAAACGAAACGACAGTCGAGGTGTCGGACGGCTATTAATAACTGTTGAAACAACAAATGGCTTCCTGCGCAGCACCATTCTTTTCGAAATTACCCACCGGAATTGTCCGTTATAATAGATATATTAGTGGAAGCTAACATTAGTAACGTGCGCTCGAAAAAAACTCAGGGGGAAAATAACAGGTATCTTGGCAATTGAGCTTTATTGGAGTTTTAAGGGTTGACTCAACTTTTTTTTGACAACTGTTTCGAAAATTAGTATGTTTTTCGTTACGTTTACTGAACATTTGTAACGATTAATCTTTATTTTAACAACTGTTATCTTGAAAATACACTTTGTTTCATATTAATCATTTTGAAAACATTCATATTTAACGATTTTTAATAAAATCAATCGTTTAACAATAAAGTCTCTAATAAAAGATAATAAAACCGCTCCTCGATTAGCAGTGGTGTGTCCGGGGTTGGAGGTTAGGGGGCCGAGCCCCCGAAGGCCCCATTTAACAAATCGTCCATGAACGGGACGACGATAGTCTTTTTCGTCTTTTGTCGTCGAGTCGTTTTGTATCGGCGAAGGGAGAAAAATCCACTTTCACAGTTGAACGCCTTTTACTGTTGTTCCGTTTTGTTGTTGGAGTCGAGGTTTTGGATTAAACGTGATTGAAAAGCCGAAAATGGGGACGTTCTCTGTACGAAAATTATTAGATAGTTAAAATAAACGACTTTCAATACCCAATTATTATTACAGTAATACAACGATATAACGGACTAATACGGGGAAGAGAGTATCCGTTATAACAAAAAGTACGTTGTATCAAATATTTTTAATTTATACTTTAAAGACGCACGTAGTTCTAGGTCTAGTGTTAGTTCTAGTTTTAGTTCAATAAAAATATACAACGTAAATTTTTAATTTTACTATATTAAAAGCAAATAGTGTTGAATTAAAATTTTCATTCCAACGATATTTTGGAATTTGGAAAATATAAATAACGTGCAAAGTTGCGTTTAAAAAATCGTAACAACAAAGTTTATGAAAACTAAGAAATTATTTTTGACACATTAAATCTTCATTAAGTCTCCTTTAAAATGCTTTTTATTTTATCATTATATCTCAATTCGTTTTTGAGATACGACTTTTTTAGCATTGCTCTTAAAATCTACAATAATAAAAACTGCAGAGTTGAGTTTAAACAATCGTAAAAACGAGGTTTATGAAAACTAAGAAATTATTTTTGACACATTAAATCTTCATTAAGTCTCCTTTAAAATGCTTTTTATTTTATCATTATATCTCAATTCGTTCTTGAGATACGACTGTTTTATCATTACACTTAAAATCTACAATAATAAAAATTGCAGAGTTGAGTTTAAACAATCGTAACAACGAGGTTTATAAAAACTAAGAAAATGTTTTTGACACAATAAATCTGCATTAAGTTTGCTTTAAAATGTTTTTTGTTTCATCATTATATCTCAATTCGTGCTTGAGATACGATTGTTTTATCATTACACTTAAAATCTACAATAATAAAAATTGCAGAGTTGAGTTTAAACAATCGTAACTACGAGGTTTATAAAAACTAAGAAATTATTTTTAACACATTAAATCTTCATTAAGTTTGCTTTGAAATGTTTTTTATTTCATCATTATATCTCAATTCGTGCTTGAGATACGATTGTTTTAGCATTTGAGCTACCTAGCACTGTCACTAGAACTAACACTACACCTAGAACTAGAAACATTCGAGTTTAGCCTTGCGTCTCTTAAGACGGCTAAACCCGAATGATTCTAGTTCTAGGTCTAGTGTTAGTTCTTGATTTATAAATGGTATAGACAACTCTAGGAAAGCCCTGAGTTTATCTATGAGCATGGAATAGAGCAACTTGAGGAATAACTCAAGTTATATAGTTCGTGCTATATTAATACAGATTTATTTTATTACCACAACAATAAAAAAAAGTAATATTTATAGGTTCAAATAAAAATACCATCACGGTTAATAAACCAAGAGAAATTTTAATAATAAATGTTAATATAAAGAGGTGGAAAATAAATTTTCAGGGGTGAATTTGTCGATTATCCTTGCAAATAACGGTCCACTACATTACCTCTGGTTTATTACCCGGATTACAACAAGGGGACGTTTCTCCCTCCGGTACAAACCATTAATACGTATTAAGTCAACATATTGTCGTATTAACGACCCTCCTCCCCCTTTATAAACACTGATTTCATCAATCTCATTCCGCTGATTTATGAGAAGTTTAATTTCTTCCTTTTATTTACAGATGGGCAGAGTCACCTAAACCTTTTCAATTCGAGACAACAGCCGAAAAAGAAAAGAAAATCAAGAACGGCGTTCACCAATCATCAAATTTTTGAATTGGAGAAACGATTCTTGTATCAAAAATATCTAAGTCCGGCCGATAGAGATGAGATTGCCTCCAGTTTGGGATTAACCAACGCCCAGGTGATAACGTGGTTTCAAAATCGGCGGGCGAAACTTAAACGGGACATGGAAGAATTAAAAAAAGACGTGGAAAGTACGAAAATGTTAACGGCGCACAAGAGTTTTTTAGAGAACGTTCAAGATTTGGGGTTGTTAAAAAAAAAAGCTTTGGTTAGCGACGATGATTGTCCGAAGAACTTGGTGATATCACCCGAGAAATAGTTCTCTTATTTACTTTTATTTCGAGTCGTGTTTTGTGATTGATCGTGTACATACAAAAATTTTAAATAAATTGGATGGACCGAGAATGTGTGCTCCTGAGATTACGTACTTAAAAAGTTGTTCGCCTTTTACAATTTTTTTTATTATTTTTTTTATACGAACTATTTATCTATTAATTAATAATTATAAATATGTAGACATCGAAAGGTTTTAAGACGAAAAACATGTACAAATGTGTAAATAGGTAGTGATAAAATAAGTTATTTCAATTTATTAAAATTGTAAGAGAGAGAGAAAAATGTGTCCATATTAGTTAAAATGTTTTAACAACAAATACTTGGTGTTATTATTGCTACATAAAAGAAAAGTTTTACGTTTCATTTCTTCTGGTTTTTGGCCTTTAAAATAATCTAGAAAGAAAACGTACAAAACTAAACAAAATAATTTTAATTTTTTCCAAACAAAAAAAAATTATATTTCTTTTTACATTTTCTAACGGGTACTTGCAATATATTACTAAATAATTTTATTTTTCGTTCTTTTATACAAACTTAACGTAAAACTGCGATTAACATTACGAAGATTTTAAAGATTTAAATAGTAAAAAAACTTATTTGTTGTATATAAAATAAATAATCCTATTAAAATTATTGTATAAAAGAATCCCCCTTTTTTCTCTTTATCGCTATTATATATGTGAAATAAACATATTCCAAATGAAATTGTTTTTTTCTTTTTTATTTTTACCTAATCTAAAATCAGTTAAAGTAGTAGCCAATGACAGAACATAAACATCATTAGAACTACTTAACGTAAACGTTAAATTGATACGGGTAAATACAGGAAATTACTTTTCCTGCCTATCTATTAAATAAACATTTGTCCTAGATAGACAGGTGCAGAGGTATCATCACGAAAAGGTAAGTTAATTATGTTTTATTTTAAAATCAAAATTTCATAACAAAAAAAAATTTAAAAGATATGCATTTATTTAATATTTAAAATTATTTATGTGAGTCGGCATCGTTGGGTTGACCAGGTCTAAAACATAAATTAACCGTTAATCCGAAACGCCCGGCTCGGTTTTTTTAATAAGATTTAATTAAATACGGTAGGCGAATCGTAACTTAACTTTATTTAGGAGCTTAGCGTTAGCGTGTGATATGTGCGATTCGAACGTATGCGAACATAAATTCGACGCTTCTTGCCGTCGTCGTATTCTGCTCGAATAAATAATCATTTAATTATAAGCAGCCGACGCCTATTTAAAACGATATTAACGGTTTCGTACAAGAAGGTTCAGGTAGGTCTCGATTTTTACTCCCTGATAATTTTTTGGTTTATGTGATATAAAAGAGATTAAAAAGATAAAATTAAAAATGTTAATTTATGTTAAGAGTTAAGATAAAGAATTAAAAATAAGAGTTTCAATAACTTATAGTTAGGTACTTTCTTTTTTAATTCAAAGGTTTCTTGAAACAAAAAATATTAACATTTTCTTAATAATTTGATAAACTCTCAAAGATTATTAATAACTGGCTTTGGTGATTCGGTTTATTCCGTCGAACCAACAATAAAAGTTTCTAAACCGCTGGGAATTTGGGCCACCGCACTCCAAGCGGAGCTGGTGCTCATTTTTCTGGCGGCTGAGGAAATTTCCAAGAAAATTAGTAACAAAGAAATTATAATATATTCTGTTTGCAAACAAGCCTCGTTGCTTGAGGACTGCCATAACAATCTTTACGAGGCAGCTGCTAGTAATGAGATTACGATCTGTTGGACAAAGTGTCATTCGGGAAATAAGCTTCGTGACATGGTGGACAAATTGACAAGGAAAGTTACCTCCTTTGATCGCCAGAACCATACATCGCCCCAACAATAAGGTCTTTAATATAGCATCAAAAAGAGGAAACACGGAAGAAGTTTCTAACTTACTGGAACAGAACACCAGGATGTCGTCAAACCAAGGAGGCTCTGATGTACCCTGACCCTAAAAGAACACATTTATTTATGAGGCTGTCCAGGAAGAACCTATGTTTGGTCATAGGTCTAATCACTGGACACTGGCATCTACAGAAGCACTTACTGAACATGGAAATAAGTGACACCGACATCAGTAGAAGATGCGGTGAGGAGGAGGAATCGGCGGAACACATTCTATGCGACTGCGTGGCCCTCCAAACATTAAAGTTATCCATTTTTGGAGATATCTAGATTTGCATGAGTGGAATCAGGGCAGCACAACCAGGACAAATTCCAGCCTTTGCCTCCAAGGTAATATGGCTGGAAGGACCCTAATACTGACCAAAAGAGGGAAGTAAGTACAAGGGATCTGCTGAATCTAGAGAAACCAGTGCGTGTATTGCGGAGAGATTGATGATGTGGTTCATACATTTCATCTCTGTCCAAGATGGATGAACATGGCGAGAGAAATGAACTCCAAACTGGAAAGGGAATTAAGTCCGGAAAATATCATAGAGACTATGCCACAAAGCGAGGAAAAATGGGAAATTGTGGACGGATATGTGAGAGGGGTGATTCAGGCGAAACAGTCGGAGGAGAAAAAGCAAGAGTGAAACATATGAAGGACACACGATCTATAAGAGAATAAAAAGAGGAGAGGAAAAAAGGAAAGAAGAGTATAAGAGATATGCCCAAGCTTGAAACGCCCGAACTGCGGAGATTTTTCCTCCTGTATAAACAAAAAAAAGAGTTGGGTTGGGTTGGGTTGATTTGTGCTGGGTTAGGTTGGGCCAATTTCTTCTCCATCATTAATGCAATAACCTCTATCTTACGATAATCATAAACATTCAGAACATTCATGCATCATTCACCCGAAGAGTTGCTGCTTTATAGCCACTGGCTAATCTATGATCTTTTGCCAAATTGGTTCTTTCTGGTATTTGTTTTCAAAATAACCGGATCTCACCAGCATTTAAGAAATGATCAGAAGGAAATACTACAGCGAATTTTGCTAGATTATGTTTCACCATGCGTGAATCGACAGACACGTTATGAGAAAGTACGTCTTTGTTTGATATTTTGTAACCAAACATGGTTTACAGAAAAATATGGTTTCTTTTCAGCTGAAAAAGTAATAGGTGATTAATTCTCACTTTTTTCATAAATAAATATTTCTAATTTTTTAAATTGTAATCCTCTTTTGAGTTGTGTCTTATAAGCATTTTTCCATTATAATATATGAGGTTCTCAAAGTTCGGATCATCATTAATATTCAATATCTGTTGATAAATAAACTGTAATTTAGAATAAAAAGAATTTTGAAAACATTTATAATTTATTTTTTAACATTTAACATTTATAGTTATTTTCTTTTGCTTTAAAGTTCGTTTTTAAAATATTTTTATTATCATATCTTCATAAAAAACACATTTGGCAACATAGTAGAACAACATTTTAAAATTAAGATTTTCGATTCAGAGTCGATCGACTTTTCGATGCACGTGTTCATTATCCGCCAATTTCTAAACATCCTGTATATAAGAAATTGTGCTCATGCTCCTAGAACATCCAGCTGCAGCACTTTTGCTAATGACGTCTTCATTTCTTTTTATTGCTCTTATTATAACTTGCCATAAAATATAGCAACATGTAAAGGAATAAAACATAAAGGCAGATCTCTTCCTTAGTGTACCAAAACAGGAATGGTGCTAAAAATGAGTTATAAAAAAATTGCTACATTAACTATCAGAAATATACTTTGCGATGCGTATGGTCTGTAAATCTTTCGGTTAGATCGCAAGCCATATTTTTAAAGAGAGAAAATGATTATCTGCAGTTAAAGAATCTGAGACTGTGGCAAAGAATGGTGGCGGATCTGTGATGTTAAAATATCCTCTGGTATAGTCTGGCGAGTCTATCAAAAAAACGACCCAAAATACAAGATTTTCAAAGTATGTTCTTGGCTTTTGGATAATAATGGCTATTGCATGCCAAAATTCGGAAACATGCCAAACCTAAGTTAATACCTAGATAAGTATTTGTTATGTATAACCGTACTTAGACTTCAGTATTGATATAAAATTCCATGAATGCTGAAGTATTAATGTACGAATCGTTTTTCAGACACTGAGTACTTCCTAAAATATTGACTAGGGGATATGGTTCTACACTGGAACTGGTACCAGGAAATTATGCAACGCAAATATATGAAATATATGTAAGAGAGGCAAAAAGAAGACCAGTATTCCACAGTTGTTCAAAAACATCTTCAACAAATGCCATTAATGTAACAGATAATGTTATAGAAATAACAGAAGCTTTTTAAAAGCTTGTCTAAGTACAGAAATATATACATCATTTAAATTAAAATTGTAATAATTAAATTTAGTTAGTTAAAATTGGATAATTTTCAAATTGAATTTTTAAACAGGAAGTGACTGGTAAATTTAAACACACCTCTCTTTGCTAGCGGCTTTTATTTCGGACCAGAAGGCGAAAAGGCCATCCGGGGTTTGAAACGATTCAATATTGACCGAGACAATTAGAAGGGTCTCATTGTTTTAAGGTAGTTCGGTAACTGGGCTGTCAAACGTGCCACAAGACCCGGCCGTCGTCGTCGTCTTCGTCAAATATTTGCCGACGACTAGAAAGAAGCCGCAGCAGGAGGCAAACAGGAAGGAGGTCGCACGTCTTTAGCCGTACGTCTTTTAAAACGTTTAAACCAACCGTTTATCGCCGGGCGGAATTTACGACTTGCTATCGGAAACGTGATCGCCCTTAAGCGACCCAAATTAGGGCGGCGTTTGGTAATTATCGGGGCGAGATCGCGCGCGATCGTAAACCGATAATTTTTTACTTTTTCGATGCTACGCGCTAAAAAATTACCAATCGTAATTCGTTTTTTTTTTTCGGTTCTTAAAAAACCGGAATGTGGAGAGTTAATTATCTCCAATACAAGGGTTGCCTTGTATTAGTCGAGAAACTTTTTTTTGTAGGTATACAAAATTGTTCGCGGTAGGGTTTTCACGCTTTTAAGTGCGTTGTATTCTGTGGGCAGGAAGTTGAGGTGAATGGATGCCAAGTTTATGGGTTACAACGACCTGAACAAGTTATTAAACGTAACATAGCCAGTAACATAAATTATTGAATATAATTTTAATTGAAGAAATTTTTATGAATTTTTTTATATGTTGATTCTTTTATTACAAAATGTATATCTAAACGTTAAATTTACAATTAAATAAAACTCCTCTGTCCCTAAATGACTTCTTTCTAGGTTGTTACTGACACAATCCATTATCGAAGATATATTTTGATGATAGGGAGCACATCTAGTTTGCTAGTGATACACATATTATGTTTCATTTTTGCTAAACTAGTTTTTTCAAGTTAATGTCTGATGTAATAATGCAGCTTCTCGATCACCACTGGGTATTACTTACATTCTCCATTACTCGCAATCCATTCTGGGGACATTCCCAGTAGAGCTTTAGACCCCAATCAAAATGCTTAGATTCAAAGTATGTTTAAAATGACGCTCCTTTACTGGATGAATTAGTTATGTATGAAGGTAATGAATTGAAAAGTGCCAACATTGGCTTTACTAGAGATAGTATTAATCCAACTTAGTGATGATGGACTCTAAAAGAAGAAAATACAGACCTGGTGATATCACGATAATCACGCAAAGTGGGTTACCTTTGGTGATAACCTTATAAAACAAGTAACAGCAACGAATTTAAAGCTATTTATTATATTG